CCCCCCCCCCCCCCCCCGCCTCTGCTTCATGAGTACGGGGATTAAAGGCATGTATCACTATGCCTGGCCTAATTATGGTATCTTTGATGATGCTACAGAGCTGCCCAGGACTCACTGTCTGTGCATGACTTTGTGTGGGAAAGGTCCTCCTACTGAAATTATCTAAAACAATCCCCGCAGATCAGTCATTGTAATCTATTTCCCTCTTGTCTGGAGCAGTCACGCCCTGCCCTCATTCAATAATATGCAGGTTCTAATCTTGTACGATCAAGAAACAAGCTGTCCCACCCCAACCCAAAACAAACTGAGACCAAGTTTGTTGGGAAGACGCGGAAAATAAAGATAGACAAGTGATAAGGATGATGGGTCTCTTCCGTGTGCGGACTGGAGAGCCCTTTACTTGGCAGGTCTTCCTGAAACTATACAAGAGAGAGCACTTCTTGGACAAGTGAGTCATGTCTTCCTCCTCTGTGTCAGCTGTGTTTGTAAAGTTACTCGTTCACTGTAGACACTGATTGGTGCTTCCCTGCCAGCACTAAACTAGGGTTAGCTCCAGAACAGTGAGAAAGAGATTCTAGAAGAGATACAATCCCTTAATCTACCACTCTGTTCTCTACAAACAGCAGAACAGGGCCAGGGAGCCAGCGAGGCTCAGAGGGTGACACTGTCACCAAACATGATGATATCTGAGTTCCATCCTTGGAACCCACAGGCTGGAAGGAGAGATCAGATCCCCACAAACTGTTCTCTGACGTTCCCACACGCCCATGCACAGCACATACACATGAAATAAATAATCAAAAGCCAGCAGAGCAAATATTAAACACCATATGCTTATACGTGTACATATACATAAATACAATTTAAACTTTTAAAAATGTCTATTTATTCTCATGTAGCTCGTGTCACAGGATGAATTACAGGAATTAGTAAATCTTTGGGATTATACTCAGGCTGTCCAGTTTGACAGCAGGTACTGTTATCCCCCTCCCTACCCACTTACTTTTTTTTTTTTTTTTAAATAGGGTCTCATTCTGCCACTCCATTGCTTTAGGCTGGCCTTGAACTCTTGGCAGCATTCCTACCTCAGTCTTCCAAGAGGCAAAATATTTTAAGAAACATCTGAAAAATTATTACTTAGGAATTGGGCATGGTAGCACATGCCTTTAATCCCTGCACTAGGGAGGCAAAGGTAGGTGGATCTCTGTGATTTCAAAATTAGCCTGACGTACATAGCAAGTTCTAAGATAGCCAGGGCTGCATGGTGATACCTTATCTCAAAAGTAAATAAATAAGCCATAAGCACAAACCCCAGTACGTGGATAAACTGATGAGATAGCTTTAAGTGCCCAAACTGTGAAATTCAAGAAATCAACTGGTACAGTCCCAGATTTCATGACACTCACAAACCCATTCCTTGATTTTGTAAAATTAATTTGTAAGCAGCAACAAATATATTTCCATAGGAAAATAAATGGAATTTAAAATTTTAGTTCCTTTTATTTTTTATTTTTTGGTTTTTCGAAACAGGTTTTTTTTTTGTGTAGCCCTTATTGCTCTGAAACTCATTCTGTAGACCAGGCTGGCCTCAGACTCACAGAGATTTGCTTGCCTTTGTTTCCCAAGTGCTGGGATTAAAGGGAAGAGCCCCCACCGCCCAGCAACTTCTTAACAAAATTGAAAAGAAAATGAGTAATTATGTTTGTGTTTTTGGAAAACAAGAACGTTAGTGTAGGGGGGAAAAATTCAATTGTAAAAATCAAAGATTTTAAGTAAAAACCTTGAAACACTTTTTAATTGTAGCCATCAGTATAAATTCCTGATTCTTCCATCTCTTTAAAAGATAGATGTCCGCCGGGTGAACTCAAGAGGCAGAGGCAGGTGGATCTCTGTGAGTTGGAGGCCAGCCTGTTCTACAAGAGCGAGTTCCAGGACAGCCAGAACTACACAGCCACAACGAAAAACCCTGTCTTGAAAAAACAATAAAATAACAAAAACAAAAACATAGACGTCCTAGTTCTGCCCATTACCAAGGTCAAGTAACGATGAGAGATAATGATTGTAGAACTGAATGCTACCGCCGTGCAGGTAGAAGTCTCTACCTTTTCCCTGCTAAGAAAAACCAAGCCTTGGGGAAATTGCTGCTTCCAAGGTCCAGGAGGCTGGAGATGTAGCTGGGTCAGTAGAATACTCACAACATGTGCAGTCCTGGTTTGATCTAAACAGCACATACCTGTAACCCTGACTTCTGGGGTCTGAGGCAGCCAGGTCAGAAGTTCAAGATCACCCTCACACAAGTGATCTTACACAGGGCGCTCAAGGCCAATCAGGGATACACGTGACCCTGTCTGGAAAACCAACCAACCACAAAACAAAAGTAAAAGTAGACTTCTGAAGTGAAAAGGATTTGCACTCACGTTAGGTACCAGTGAATATCTATTGCCAGTGGGTTTCTACATTATGGAAGGACAAACTACCTCTTGTCGATGATCGTTACCCGGGAAGGTGGAATCCCCAAGACGTCACAGCTCTGCAGAAGTTCTTTCTTCCGAATCTCTCCTTGACTGTAGTAATTTCCTGAGGGAACAGATACAGTGGTACTTTCACAGCAGAGGCCTGGCTGCTCACTCATTCTTAGCCCATCTTGTCCCCCAAGTGATTTGAACTGTCTGAAAAAGCCATGACTGTGATAAGAAATTCAAGAAAACAGAACATTTAATGTTCAGGTGGTCCTGGTAGCAGCATTCATTTTAGTACCGCCATTTACAATACCTATGTATCTATTTATGCATGCATGGATACATAAATACATCGACCTACTAATCTATCATGTGTCTGTCTGTCTATCTATCTATCTATCTATCTATCTATCTATCTATCTATCTATTTATCTATCTTCTCTCTGTGCTATGCTGTGCTTAACATGTGTGAGGCACTGGGGCTGAATGCCAGCCTCACCTTTACAGACACATAAAATAATCCTCAGATTATCCTTCCTTCCTTTCTTTTTTTTAGATGGGATTCCTCTATGTAACAGTCCTAGATGACCTGGAGCTAGCTCCTGTAGACCAGGCTGGTCTCGAACTCCCAGAGATCCGCCTGCCTCTGCCTCCTGAGTGCTGGGATTAAAGGCCGTGGGCCATCGCCTGGCCAGTCTTCAGATTTCTAAAACTTATTTAAAGGATAGGGTGCCATTCTTGAGTATTACAAGAAAATGTTCAGATACCATTTAGGAAAATGTGCTGGCTAGTTTTATGTTGACTTGACACAAGATAAATCATTTAAGAGGAGGGAACCACAACTAAGAAAATGCCTCCAGTGCTGGAGAGATGGCTCAGCAGTTAAGAGCACTGGTTGCTCTTCCAGAGGTCCTGAGTTCAATTCCCAGCATATAGTGGTTCACAACCATCTGTAATGAGATCTGGTGCCCTATTCTGGCCCGTGAGGATACATGCAGACAGAACACTGTATACATAATAATAAATAAATCTTAAAAAAAAAAGAAAAAGAAAATGCCTGCCTCATGGGTGAGAGAAAGATGCTCTCCCTTCTCCCTTTCTCTGTTACCTCCTGTGGCATGTGAGAGAACTGGTCCCAGGGTCACAAGAATGGGAGAACTAGCCCTGACCCTTCCCATCTGGGTAGCACACTAGAGATGATCCTGTGGTCAGGGCCGTAGGTGAACTGACCACCCCACCCCTCCATATGTCCTCTATAGCAATCAGGAGAGAGAGCCCTGTACCTTGCCTGGGCAAAACAGGCAAGAGCTGGTCCTGGTGATGTGAGTGTGGGTGACCCGGATCTGAGGCCCTGAGAGCAGAACTGGCCCTGCTCCTTGCTGTAGGCTGCATTGGGTGAGCTAGCTGAGGCAGTGCTGGAGAGCTTGTCTGGACAGTGACCATGAGGGAAAGCTGGCAGGCTGACCAACCCAGCTACCATCCAGGCCCAGAACCAGGGCTATGTGTTGGCGCACCCCAACATCCACTGTGAACTCTTGAAGCACGCGAAAAGGACAAACCTACAGATTCGCAACAACAGGATCTCCATGACACAGAACAACAGGAATCTAAGAGGAGCCCCAGGGAGAGCCAGTATCGGTGTGCAGCAGAAACCGGAGGCCTCCAGTCAGACCAGTGGCTCATAGCAATGAACACTTTGCAGTAAAGACTAATGGACTAACGGGTAGACTGTGTGACTTAATGGACCACACTACAGCTTCCAAGACAAGATTCTTTTCCTTTTTTGTTTGCTGGATTTTTGGCTTTTCTTTTAAATTTGGTTTTGATTTGGGACGGAGATTGCAAGGGCAGAGGGCAGATGCTTGGGGACAGGAAGATAAGGGGGATTGGAGTGCATGATGTGGAATCCACAAAGAATCAATAAAAGTTAAAAAAAGGAAAGGAAAGAAAAAAAGAAAATACCTCCATAAGATTGGGTTGCAGACAAGCCTGTAGGACATTTTCTTAATTAGTGATTGATGGGGGAGTGCCCAGCCCACTGTGGGTGGTACCATCCTGGGTTGGTGGTCCTAAGGGCTATAAGAAAGCAGGCTGAGCAAGCCAGTTACCCCTCCATGGTCTCTGCATCAGCTCCTGCTTCCAGGTTCCTGCGCTGAGTGAGTTCCCACCCTCTCTGCTTTTGATTATGAACTGTTATTTGGAACTGTGAGTGAAACTAACCCTTTCCTACCCAAGCTGCCTTTGGTCACGGTGCTTCTCATTACAGCAATAGTAACCCTAGCCCATAACTAAGACAGAAAACATCCTTTTATTTTTATTTATCGAGATCAGGTCTCTCTATCTTGTAGTTCTAGCTGGCTTGGAACTCCCTATGGAGACCAGGCTGACAGAGATCCACCTGCCTCTGAGTGCTGGGATTAAAGGCTTGTACCAGCACACCTGGCGCATCCTTTTCTAAAGAGTTTAGTCACCAGTGGCCCATCAGTACTAGAAAAAGCTTAGTGATATTCTTTACTTTCCCAATGTACGTACCACAGCCCTTATAACTAATTCTCTTCTGTAGCCTTACAAATATTAATACAACGAAGTTTTGGTGTCCCTTAAAATGAACACTCACTTTGAGCATTACCTAATTAATATACGCCCTAATGAAAATTTCCTGAAAATAGTGCATGTATGCTTTCTTTTTAACTTCCCTGAGCCAAAGGTCTTCGGCTTGTAGCATGTGGATAATGATTGATCCAGAGTTTTCTGGAAGGTTACTTAATATACACTAAAGTGCTCTATTAAGCAGTGCTTGCTTTCTCTTTCCTTTGCCACCTTTGTTTAAGATAAGATATTGATGTGTAGTCCTTGCTCGCCTAAAACTTATTATAATCAATTAATTTTGAAATTTATTTGGAAGAGAAAATGAATCCAGTTTGTGTCAAGTTGACAAAAACCCAGCCAGTATAAAAAGTGTGTTGCCGAGCCGGGCGATGGTGGCACACGCCTTTAATCCCAGCACTCGGGAGGCAGAGGCAGGCGGATCTCTGTGAGTTCGAGACCAGCCTGATCTACAGAGCTAGTTCCAGGACAGGCTCCAAAGCCACAGAGAAACCCTGTCTCGAAAAACCATAAAAAAAAAAAAAAGACTAAAAAGTGTGTTGCCAGTGCATACCTTTAATCCCAGCACTCAGGAGGCAGAGGTAGGCGGGTCTCTGTGAGTTCGAGAACAGCCTGGTCTACAAAAGCAAGTTCCAGGACAGGCTCCAAAGCTACAGAGAAACCGTGTTCGAAAAACAAAACAAAAAAGTGTCAATTATTCAAAGATTTATTTATTTACTTTTTTGTTTTTAAGACAGTCTCACTATGTAGTCCTGACTGGTCTAGAACTTGCTATGAAGACCAGGTTAGGTTCACCTGATTCTGCTGGGACTACAGTCACGTAACACCATGCCTAGCCTATTCAGAAATTTAAACTCTGAGCCAGGTGGTGGTGGCGCACACCTTTAATCCCAGCACTTGGGAGGAAGAGGCAGGCAGATCTCTGTCAGTTCGAGGCCAACCTGGTTTACAAGAGCTAGTTCCAGGACAGAGAAACCCTGTCTTGAAAAACCAAAAAAAAAAAAAAAAAAAAGAAATTTAAACTCTGTATCACAATGTGACTCAACAGTTAACAGTTACATTCACAAGAATCCACTTTAAAGAATTAGAAACAATTATACCAATAGAATTATACCAATAGATACTTAATAACAACGTTTGTAGCAGTCATTATTCACAACAGCCAGAGTACAAAAATCCAAGTAAGCAGCATCAACAGAAGGATGAAAAAAAAATATGATACCTACACAGAACAAAAACATTCTTCAGCCAGGAAAACAAATGAAGCGGGGCTGGAATACAGCTCAGTCGCTGAGTATTTGCCTAGCATGTGAGGTCCTGGGTTCAATCCCCAGTGCTATAACTCCTGCCTCATCCACCAAATAGGAATAAAGAAGATGGGCATGGTGGCATAAGCCATAATTCCAGTACTCTGGGAGCTAAGACAGGGGAATTGTGAATTTGAGTTTAGCCTGGGCTACATGGTGAGATCCTGACACAAACAAAACAATGTTCTGAAACATGCTACAACATTGGTGGACTTTAAAAATATTAAGGTCATATAAGTCATGTGTAAAATAACAACGACTTCCTGATTCTGTTTCTATATGGCACCTAAGCAGGCAAACCCACTGAAACGTAAGTAGAATTGCAGTCACAGGGGTTAGAGGAAGGAAGGAATGGGAGTTATTGCTCAACGGGTTACTGAGTTTCTCTTTGGAATGATGAAATAGGGGTGATGGTTACAAAATCTTGGGAAGGTACTTGCCACTGCTGAGTCAAACATTTAAGAAGTTCAAAATAGTGAGTTTTATGTCATAAATATCTATGGCACAAATGAAAGAAACATTAGAAACAGAAGCCAGAGTTTCACTCAATAAAACTCTTCCAAGGGGGCTGGTAATATGGCTCAGCAGATAAACAGGCTTCATGCCCAGTCAGATGACCTGAGTTTGATCATCAAGACTCAGGGTAGAAGGAGAAATAGAGTCTGTTAACCTCGGTTAACACAGGCCCATACACATACATACATGCACGAAATAAATAAATGCGAGAAAATAAAAAGTTATTATAAAATACAAATTATGCCTTTAAATTTGGTAGAACAGCTATAAAAACATTTTTTTAGTGTGTGTATGTGTGTGGGTTTGTTCAGTGCCTGAAGAGGCCAGAAGAGGGTGTTAGATTCCCTGGAGCTGGAGTTACAGGTGATTTTGAATCACCTGACATGGGTCCAGTGCAGAACTCAGGTTCTCTGGAAGAGAATCAAGTGCTCATAACTATTGAGCCATCTCTAGTCCCTAAAAAGAGGCACCGGGTACAAATCCACACGGCTAAGCCCGGGAGAACAGGGTACAGATCCACACGGCTAAGCCGGGGAGCATGGGGTACAGAGCCACACGACTGCGCCAGAGAGCATGGGGTACAGAGCCACATGGCTAAGCCGCGGAGCATGGAGTACAGATCCACACGGCTAAGCCGGGGAGCACTACCATATACAACATTATTACCCAGCCAGTCTGGGCTATACTT